GGGCCACAGACAGCCTTACCAGGTTTCAGATCTGGAATAAGATACGTGCAGTTGAACTGGGAATAGACAGATCTCAAATGCAGTGAGCAGAAAATACTAGGTAGTTGTTTAGTTAAAGCGAGGCTCTCACTATTTACGCCTGGCGTAGCCTGTTCAGAAACTTTATACTGTCGGTTATTGCAAAGAACATTGTAAATCTCTAGGTCCTTCTAGGCTTGGAAAGGACTCTGAGGCCTGAATGTGCTGAAACGCGGGTATTCCGTGTGCCAAGTCCCAGCCTCAGAAGGTGGACTCCCAGGCCAAACCTTGAAGACCCTGAGCCAGCAGTGAAGACAACACGTTTGCAGCAGCTACAAAGGAAAAGGAATTAGCAACAGAAACGCCCGGAGGCTTCAGGAAGAGGCTGCTCTTCCAAAGACAAAACAGGTGGTGACAGAACCTTCTCCCCACCCTGGGAGCTACCTATTTCATAAGCCCCATTAGAAGGATGATGGCAGAAAGGTCGGTTCTTCTGGTTTTTCTGCCCTTTGGCTGGAATGTTTGACTTGCAGCCAGGCACACATGTTAGGCTTAATTACAGCCTGCCTCATCAATACAGCTCTCCCTCTTCTTTGCAAATGATCTGATACATGCTACTAGCCACCCAAAGAGAGGACTTTCAAGATACCTCCAAACAAAGCATGCCAACTTTGTTGACCAGAGCTGGTTGCAGAGGAGTCTCTGGTATCAAAGCGTCACTCTTGGGAGGTGACTCACAATGGAAGCAGAAGGTTCCTTCATCACTTCAAAAGTTGGAGATCTTTCCTAAAAACAATGTCTGCAGCAGAAGGGTAGGCCATTGGGGAGGGGAATAGGGCAGTGTGCTAGCACTCTCATAAATGTAGGTGACCACATGAGGTCTACGCTAATAGAATTGTGTATGTCATGTACACTACTTTTCTTACAGGCTGGCTCTGGATCTTTTATCAAAAAGAAAGAGCAACCTCTAATGTGCTTCAGAATAAATCTAGCGGATATGATAAATGCAAAAGCAAGACTGTTCAGGATATTGAGTTGTAATCATTAATAAGTAATCCTAACACTGGGAGTGAAAAAGGATAAATATTCATAAAGTCCTTCCATATAGAAGAGCTGTTAGTCCTAGCCTGGGACTTCTTACCCTACTGGAAAATTAATTGTACTGTTCAAGTCAAATCAGATTAAGCCTAAGAACCAGCTGAAAATGTGTAGCATTTGCAAGGAAACATTTAACTCTTACAGATTTTGAAATTAAAGAAACAACCACTCCCAGCAACTTACTGAAACATAGAAGTTTCACAGATAAATGTGTTGTTGTCCTGCTTGCTTTTGCTTGCAGTTGGTCCCCACCCACTTTGGAAAAGTCAACTTAGTGTAATATGAAAGCCTGTTATTTGCTTGGTGGCTAAAAACATCAGAAGATACCTTTCCAGAGATCCCAGACTGGCACTTTGCTCTTAGGCAGGTTCCTCATAAGAAATGAATGCTGTATCAACATTAAGGGAATTCTCCAGATGGCACTCTTTAGAAAGTAAAGATAGGTTTAGGGTTTAGGTTAAAGATTTTTCCTTTTCATGCAGATGACATCTAGAAAACATTGCAAAGTCCTTCCTTCCCTTCCCTTCCCTTCCCTTCCCTTCCCTTCCCTTCCCTTCCCTTCCCTTCCCTTCCCTTCCCTTCC